ACCGGCAGGAAGCGTTGCTGCTTGAAGACCAACCTGTGTCTCCCCATTGTGGCAGGAACACCCAGCGCCACCTGGAGTCGCTCTGTGGACCAAGGTTTGAGAGACACTGGGATTGGGGGTTGTGGGAGGCTATTGAAGAGATGTGCTGGATGAGAACAAAGTTCTGGGGTGCACAGGGGACCCTAACTTTCATAACCGGAAACGGGCGCGTTTTTGTGGCGGTGTTTCTTAGGGCCACCGAAGACCTGAATGCTCTGTATTCGGGCTGTCCCCCAGGTCTGAAAAGTGCCAGGGTCTGATTCTTGCCCCTGGAAGGGGCTTTCACTGATGAGGCTGGGCCGGTGTCCTCTCAGGCTTCCGTTGCGATGTTGTGGCCTGCCGAACTTTGGCCTTGGACCGTGAACGGTGTGACGGGTGCAGCCATTTCAGGTCAGGGCAGCCGCCTGGCTGGGACAAGCGTTCTGTAGTTATAAAAAAACAAACCCACCCCGAGCACTTTGATGACATGAAACGGTCCTCAGGCCACCCAGCTGTCTGATCGAAACACCAGGGCCTTGTCTACACTCTGTATAGACAAGAGTGTCTTCTTGTCTACACTCTGTCTACTTCTTGCGCGAGTAATATGCAAATGAGGCTAAGCGTGGAATATCGCCGAGCCTCATTTGCATACCTAATGAGCTACCATTTTTTTCAGAAGAGGCTCTTGCGCAAGAAGGAGCTGTCTACACTGCCCTGTCTTGCGCAAGAAAAGCCCTCTTGTGCAATGCCGTGACACCTATTACTTTTCAGGAAGAACGGCATTGCTCAAGAGAATTTTTCTTGCGCAAGACAGGGCAGTGTAGACAGCTCCTTCTGGCGCAAGAGCCTCTTCTGAAAAAAATGATGGCGCATTAGGTATGCAAATGAGGCGTGGCGATATTCCACGCTTAGCCTCATTTGCATATTACTCGCGCAAGAAGTAGACAGAGTGTAGACAAGAAGACACTCTTGTCTATACAGAGTGTAGACAAGGCCCTGGTGTTTCGATCAGACAGCTGGGTGGCCTGAGGACCGTTTCATGTCATCAAAGGGGTCCCGGTTACACCAAAGCAGACAGTCTCTTTAAGGCAGGGGTGCGGAAGGCTTGCCTAGATCTGGCCCCTGAGGTTTGGGGCTCCCCCCAAGCACTGGGGGAGCCTGTGGTGGTGCTCCATCTCCCCCACCATCCCACCGTGGGGCTGAGCACACAAAATCTACTAGCCTGGGCCCCGCTAGGCTCTGGTGTGTGAGGGTCTTTCTCCGTCTCAGTCGGGGGCCATTTCAGTGAGGGGTTGGTTTTTCTTTCTTTCTTTCTTCTCACTTGACTGATTTTTCTGTGGGTCAGCAGCCCCCAGCCCAAAAAGGTTCCCCAGCCCTGCTTAAAGGGATACAACCCAGTGGAAAAAGGTTTCAATGCTGCTGAGGAAATCACACAAGACGAAGGGGACACTGGCAGCTTCTGGGAGGACGCAGGTATCTCCTGTTGCCTGTTGGTGTCCCTGCAGGACACAACCCCCAAGGAGTTATATTCGGGCTAGATGGCAAACAGCGCGATTGTCCTCCGGGTGGATCCGCTTGGCAGAGAGGTGCTCTGCATGAGCGTCTGTTCGGTCAGGCCGCCCCATCAGTCTGCTGTGCATTAGCCCAGAGAGAAAATGAGAATGGGGTTTTGGGAGGAGGGAAACAGGAGAGTCCCTCCCCGCCCTGCACCCATAAAGCTTCCCTTGTTTAATTTCTGCCACCGGGGGGCCGCTCAGCACACCAGGCCCCAGGGCTCGCGATGCCGTAATGTTTAACTTACCGAAATCTGCAATCAATTTTCCTGGCTGCCCCCAGTCGAGCGGCCCCTTGCTAGAGTCCTGCAGGTTTACGAGCGCTGAAGCGCTATAAAGGCTTTTTACAGGCTGCTTTTTTCATTTCAGATTGGAGTGTGGCCGGCGAGCGGCTGGACAAGGTGCCAGGTTTCCACGTGGCCTGCCCGGCCTGCAGCCGTCAGTTGTGTGGCTGAGGTCCTGGGTTTGTACGCGGGCGTGGTTCTGGAGAGGGGACACCAGGCTCCTTCACCCAGAGCTAACCAGGACGGTCTCATTTCAGTTCCTTCTCCCAGGCTCTGGCCGTGGCACTGAAGCTAGGAGAGATGCTCCGTGTCGGACTCTGGAGCCGTCCCTTTGGCAGAGGAGAGCCCTGCTGTGCTGCACGTGGGGTCATGCGCCTGTGGCTAGCCCTGAGCGGACACCACTATGGTTGTAGCCAGGCTTGTCCACCCCAGGGCCACGCTGGCCCCTTTTCGGAAGGCCAGGACAGGCACCTTGCCACTGTGACATGGGGCAGATTGCAGCCGTCCACAGCTCCCTGCCAGATCCTGGCTCACGGAGCATGGCACGTGCGGCCTGCATGGAGATGGAGCATTTCTTGCTGGAACTGGTGGGCCTTTGCACCAATGGGCCTGCTCATTTTTTCCAGCCATGTGCAGAATAAATTTTATTAGATGCACTGAAACGTGTGGATGTGCACCACTAGTAGAAACATACTGGCTGTGGGCACTCTGCTAATCTGCTGGGCAGCACCTGAATTTTTCCAAGTGCTCAGCTTACAGGCAACACTGTTTTGCGCTGGGCACACCTCTGTGCTGGCGGGGAAGGGTCCCATGTGTTGCGCTGCATTGCACGAGTCGGTGGGCCACATTTGAACCACACACTGCACATCTGCTGGGCGCCCTCTCTGCTCCTTGCCCGCTGATTGCGCTTAGCAAGCGATTTGTGCGCAAACAGCCTCTGTGGTTGGCTGCTCACTGTTACCCTGCAGTGACAAGGCAAGAATGAGTCAGCGCCAGACACCGGGCACTCTGGTTGCAAATAGAACGTCTCCTCTGCACACTATGGGACCCGAGCTTGTGGGCTTGGTGTTTCCATGCTCCTGCGTGAGCATCCTGGGTCTCACGGCCACACTCATGCATCCATGCTGCACTACAAAATGCCAGCGCTCAGCCCCAAGTCTCAGCAGGACTCTGGCTCTGACCAATGATCCCCCTAAGCTTTTCCATCCATGTGCAGAATAAATTTTGTTGTGTGCACCAAAGCTGCTGGCTGTGGGCACTGTGGATGCTCTGCTAATCAGTGAACTGGGTGGCATTTGACTCTCTTCTGGGCGCCCGCACAAGCGCTTGACTTACAGGGAACTCTGGCTCTGACCCAACCTTTCCCACGGCCGTAGGTCCTGTGTCCTGAGTGCTTGCTGGCTCAAGTCTGCCTGATTTGTGTGTAGCCAGGGCTCAAACTGAAGTCAGCACCTAGGGTTAGGGTGCAGTGTAGAAGTGCCCTGACAGTGCTGAAGGAATGAACTCTGCCTACCCCCCTTTGGTATCTCCAGTGGTTAAAATTTGAAGTCTAATGGGGGTTGGACTCGATGACTTCCTGAGGTCTCTTGCAACCCTCTGATTCTATGGTTACTGTAGAAACAGATGATTATCGCTGGTTGTGCCATGGCTGTTGTGCGAATACAAAGCACACAATGTCCCCTGCCCCAGAGCGCTCACACCTGCAATCGATCACGGACACAGGCTGAGTGAACGGATTATCCCATTGTGCCAACGGCACTGAGGCGCACAGAGATGAGGTGACCTGCCCAAGGTCACACTAGACGTCAGTGGCAGAGCAGGGATTTGACGCTGGCTCTCCTAAGTCCCAACCCAGTGTCACTCCCCCAAAACCACCCTGCCCTATGTTGAGCATCTAACGGACAGGCCCAGGGAAGAAGAGTCCGGTGCAGGCAAATTTCTAAGCCGCAAAGACCCTGAGAGTCGCTCCGCACCCATTGTGCATGCACAACCCAGCGGAGTGCCACAGGAGTAGTTTGCATGCAGAGTCCAAACCCTTCCCCCACGCCCTTGTCTCCATGGGAGTCAGACAGCTCAAGGGAAGGGGGAAGGCAACAGAAAACCAGAATAAAAATCTACCCCCCAAATGGTGTTTGGCCTCTCCTATGAGATGCCAAGCGGCTCTGAGCGGGACCAGGCACCTCCCCAGAGTCAGACGTGCAGGTCTGTATGCCAGTCGCCAGCAGGCCGCAGGGAAGGGCTGCCCAGTCTGGGTACACCCAGCGCTCCCCTCCAGCCTGCTGGGCAAGGAAGGCAGCAGGGAAAGTGTTGCCACTTGGTCCCTGACTCCAGACCATCGTCCCCCCTGCTGCCTCCTCCCCTCCCCGCTGGACCAGTTGAGCGGCTGGAGACCTGCAAGGCATTTGACATGGCCTCTGGGGAGTTCCACAGGGCTCCGTGCCACAATGGAGGTAACGGGGAAACTTCCTTCCCTTTGGCACCAATGTGGCCTAGTCCCCGTGTGCCCGCCACCCCCCTCTGCCTGCAGTCTTTGGGTCTGGCTCTTGGTAAAGGTGCCCAATGAGGGGTCCAAACGCCACCCTCTCCCTGTAATTCAATGGGCCCTGTATTGTCCGTGACAGGAGCCCTTTTGCTTTAGGGTTCTCTGGGTCTCGTATTCTTGGGGGTGGGGAGGGCGACGTCGCGGCTAAAACAGGCGTCCGTCCTTCGGGTCAGCGAGGCCTGACCCCACACAACTTGGAAGGGCACCACTTGCATGGTTAAAAAGAAACCTTGAGGTCTCTAAAGGTCTTTGTAAGTTGCTCGTTTTCCCTCCCCCCTCCTTTTTTTTGGTTTGGATTTCGCCAGGCTCCAGATCTCGGCTGGAATGCTGTCCCGGAGAGCTGGATACTCCAGTGTAAGCACTTTCAAAATATAGGTGGCTAATGCCTTCAGTATGTCCGAAATATACCATATGCTGGAAACAAAAGGGGCTCTGAGTTATTAAAGTTTCCTTTTTCCCCCTCCCTCCCTCCCCGCCTCCCCTCTCCCCCCTTTTCACCCTGCCCTCCTCCGTTCCTGCTCAGGCTGCCGAGGGAGGCAGAGGAGACCCAGTGGCGATGTGAGATGCAGGCAGAAGTGGCTGGGGGAGGGGGGAGCGTGCTCAGGCTGCCGAGGGAGGCAGAGGAGACCCAGTGGCGATGTGAGATGCAGGCAGAAGTGGCTGGGGAAGGCAGACGCGAAGCATGGCCGTGCTCATCCCACCTCGGGGCCCTCTCTCTCCAGAAGCAGGTAAGCGGGGGCTTGCAGGGAAGGGGGGGAGGCGAAAGCACGAGGCGGTAGGCGGGGGGTGACCAAACCGCATGGCGATCAGATGTTTGGTATTTTCCTGCTGTAGAAAGAAAGGGCGAAAGAAAGAGCAGCGAGAAAGAGATGGCTGGGGGTGATGGCCGTGCTCATCCCACCTCGGGGCCCTCTCTCTCCAGAAGCAGGTAAGCGGGGGCTTGCAGGGAAGGGGGGGAGGCGAAAGCACGAGGCGGTAGGCGGGGGGTGACCAAACCGCATGGCGATCAGATGTTTGGTATTTTCCTGCTGTAGAAAGAAAGGGCGAAAGAAAGAGCAGCGAGAAAGAGATGGCTGGGGGTGATCTCAGCAGGCTAATGATACCGCGGGATCTTCTTCTTCCGCCTATAGACTAGCGCCCAGCTGGTGCTACTCCCTGGAGTTCGGCTGCAGACTGAGGCAGGGCAGCCCCTCCGGCCCTTCTAGGTGCACAGCTGCCTGCCCTGAGCAGGAAACACTGTCAGCGGGTCAGGACTGTCTTGGCGGGGCTGAGGGATGCTGGCCAGGTCGAGCCTTTGGTGTCTGGGTGTACGCCGGAGGGCTTAGCTCCAAGGATGTGGAACTGCAAGAAGTTCCCTCCTACCTACTGCAGGGAAGGAGGCGTGAGCCCCGTCCTGCTCCAAACACTATTCCTTTCATTGCCAGGGGGCTGGGGAATAGGGCAAAGTGGGATGGTCCAGGAGGAGCCAAGCAACATAACCTGGGCAGATGGCTTCTGGGCGCCACTGTCTGAGGCTGCCAGAGAAATAAAACCAGTGCCATGTGCAGGCTGGAGAGGGGGAGCGGATCCCTTTCTCCCCACCAGCTCCCCTTTCGTTGTTCTTTGGGGAACATGGGAATGTCCCGGTAGAGAGGCCAGCATGTCCTGTCGGGCACACAGCTGCCAGTGGATTTGATTCCACTGATCTGTCTTTGTCACGGCCAAAAAGGCGCCTAGCTTCAGTCTCTCCCGATTCAGCCCTCCTCCCACCCCCAGAAGGAAGGGGTGAAATAAATGTGGCAGATGGACTATCTGGGTACGTCTACACTGGACGCTTATTTCGAAATAAGCTATGCGGGTATAGTTATTCCGAAACAGCTTATGTCAACATAGCCCGTCTACACTGCAGGGAAGCCTCAAGATGAGTCCGAGGCCGGCACCCCTAATGTAGACGTGCTATCTCGATTTAGCGCCCCAGGAGGCACTGGGGAGGGGCTATATCGACATAGCAGCAGTGGAGCGTCTACACTAGCTAGTTCGGAATAGGCATTATTCCTGTTGGAAGGAGGTTTACAGATTACGGAATAAGCCACCCGTAGTTTCGGAATTATCTCGAATAACGGAATGGCGGTGTAGGCACTCGCGTTGTTATCTCGAAATAACGGTGCAGTGTAGATGCAACCTCAGTGGCTCCCCTCCCCAGATCCTGCCTGGGTGAAGGTGTCGGGACCGAGCCCATGAAAGGCCCTTCCTCCCATTTCAGAACCCAACAGAATAGATGAGCACACCTTGCAGGCATGCCGGGAAGGGGGTCTCTCTGCAGGGGGGTGGGCGGGACATAGGCAGGCGGCAAGGGAATGGGACGAGAGGAGGAGGACTATGCGGGGGGGATTGCGACTGCAGCAGGGTGGGAGAGGCCAGGCGAGTCCTGTCCTGTCACGTCCCCGGCCCATCCCATGCTGCCCTCGTAGGGAGCTGTCTCCGCTGACGCTACCGGAGAGAAAGCAAAGAGCACTGGGCTCCCTGGTCCATCCCCTCCCCACGGCAGGGCTCTTCCCCACACCTGCTTTGGTCCAGGCTCGGTTTCAATGGCTGCAAAATGCGAGCGGTGGAAGGCAGCGGTGGAGGGTGCCACGCTGGGGCCCGGCGAAGGAGCTGGGAGAGGCCCACGTGAAAAGGGCGTCAGGAGCCGGGGGGAGGGACAGAAATAGGTGTGCAGTGACAGGCAGACAGACTGCGGGCGGGCAGAGGGGGGGAGGGTCACTGGGGCAAGAGGCACAGAGAGTTTTCAGGCTCAGTCCTTGCGAACCCCCTTCTGGCACCACAGAACTGTAAGAGTGCCTCTCTTGGTGGCACAGCCAGGGTCCCTACAGGGCCTCGTTCCCAGAGCCGCAGCTGCCCACGGAGTGTCCTGCGTGGAGGCGCTGAAGGGGTTAAAGAGAGCAGGAAAGGAGGTGGATAAAGAAAACAGAAAATGCAGGGGGTGAATTGCTAGGCCGGGGCTGAGGGATGTGAATATGCCCCCTGGGTATTTATTTCTAGTGCACCGGCTGTTTTGTGAGAAATGGAACTTCACACACACACATTCTCTCTCACAATGTCTTGCACACACACTGACACACACATATACATTCACACATTCTCTCTCTCACACACACACTGACACACACTCACTCTCTCACATTCTCTGTCTCTCTCACACACACTGAGACACACACACACATTCTCTCACACTCACTCACACTGACACACACAAACACACACTCTCACATTCTCTCTCTCTCACACACACACACTGAAACACACACATTCTCTCATACTGACACACACACACTCACTCTCTCACACACATTCTCTCTCTCTCTCTCTCTCTCTCTCTCTCATACACACACATACACACACTGAGACACACTGAGACACACACACTCACTCACACACATTCTCTCTCTCTCTCTCTCTCTCTCACACACACACACACACACACACACACACACACACACGCACACACACAAAAGAGCTTTCGCATTCCAGACCAGCCTGGAGAGACAGTAAAACTGACTTCTGCAAAGTCCTCCCCCTTACCGACGTGTCCAGGCATTTCTGAAACTTCCCTTTGAAGGTGAAAATATTTCATGCCAGTCATCACCACCACAGCCCCCGCATCTGGCTGTCACCGAGCACAACGTATTTCACCGAAATCCCCTGCGCTGGCTTTGAAATGCAATCGCATTCAATTAGATCTCGCGTTCAAAGCTGCGCGGACTCCCAGGGAGACGGTCGTGCCCACATGAGGGCTGCCGGGTCCGGATCCCAGGGTGGGAGTGCCTGGGTTGTCATGCTACCTCCTGGCCCTGGCCACAACTTGCTGCTGCTCAGGATATGACTGTGCTGGGGATAATGAGGGGAAACCACCAGAGTCGCTTATTACAAGGACAAGGCCAGCTCGCAGCAGCATGTCAGTGTTGCTCCCAAAATGGGATACACTCAAACTAGCTTCCCCTTTTCCAGGCTGTTGGAGTGAAGCCGCCCAGAACACTTAGCGCTGGGAATGGAACTGGGATGGAAAGGAGTTTGGCTGGTTTCCCGTACTGGAAAATCCCTCATTTCCATTTCTCATGGTACGCTGGGACCATCCCATAGTACAATCGGTGTGTCCACAGAGCAGCCTCACTAAGGGCCAGATTCGGAGCTCAGCAACATGCTGCGGTTTCCGAGTAACTCCCGGTCCTCTCCCTGAAGGGCCGAGCCTGTCTGTGTGTCTGTGCCTCTAATCTTACCTTAGTTCAGGGGCTCTGAACCTTTTTCTTTCTTCCCCGCATGCTATCAGAGCTCCACAGCCCACCTGCCACAATAACTGGTTTTCTGCATCTAAAAGCCAGGGCTGGCGTTAAGGGGCAGCATGCCGGATACTCTCCAACTTCCCCTCTAGCCAGGGAATGCTCAACCTCCTCTCCACCTCAGGTCCTGCCCCCTTTATATTCCTTCCCGCCCAAGCCCTGCCACAGCTCGGCTCCCACCTCACCCTATTTCACCCCTAACCTCAAGTCCCTGCCCTGCTCTGCCTCTTTTCCACCTTCTCTCCCTCCCTCCTGGAGCATCCTGAATGCCAGGAATCAGCTGTTTGCAGTGTTCTGGATGTGCTGGAAGAACAGGGGAGGAATAGGTTAGTGGGGCCACCAGCGGGCAAATGTCATGGGAAGGGGAGGGAGGCAGAGTGGGGGAAATTTTTCCTTGTGGGTGCCCCAGCCCTGCAGCATCCAGGGTTGGTGCCTCTGGCAAGCAGGGCAGAGCCTGGGGCACTGCCAAGCTCAGTTGCTCAGGCTTCTGCTTCAGTCCCAGGTGAGGGGGCTCCGGGTTCCAGGTTCTGCCCAAGGCCCCAGTGAGTCTAACACTCACCGTGCTTGGCAGCCCCCCGAAACCTGGTTGGGAACCGTGGCCTTAGCTGCCAGCGAAGCCACCAGGCCACACACTGAGGCATTTACTCCTCTCCCCCAGCGATTTCCGGACGGGCTGCTGGGGCACTGCTCCTGTGCCCCGGGCATGGGGCGCTGACTCCAAAGGAAATGGGCTTAAGTGTAAAGATGGAGGTAAGTGACATCAACGAGAGTAAAGGGACTCAGCAGCAGCAGCAGTCGGCCCTGGCTGAGGGGCGACCCCTTGCGTGCCCAGGAAAGGGGGTACTGACCTCAGGAACCAGGGTCCCCATGAAGCTTCTCTCAAGATGTCTGGCAAATGCCTGGCTCTGGGCAGTGGTTGGCAGGACTGAGGGGAGGGGTGCGCTCTCAGGGGGGCTGACAGAGGGTTATCTGCCCCACCGCGAAGGCAGGAGCTTTGGAGACACCTGCTCCTGTGCTAATGCGGTTTCTGCTTTCCTTGGTCCTTCCATCCGGCCGTGCAGGCTCAAAGCACCTGGCCCAGACAAGGCAAAGTAGGTGTCTGGGTGGCACTTTACTGGGCCCCAGGCTTGTCATGGGAGAGAGGCCAAGGACGGGGAGAGGGCAAAGTGATGCTGCAGAGAGTCAGGAAGGAGCCAGTGTGATGCAGGCTCAGGACAGGGAGGGAAGGCAAGGCCAGGAGGTCCCTTAACAAGACAACAGCCAGTAGCAACTTCGTTTGTAAGGCCTGGTTCTAGTTACACATTCTGGGTACGTCTAAACTACATGGCTCCGTCGACAGAGCCATGTAGATTTGTTGTTTTGGCAAAGTCAAATGAAGCCGCGATTTAAATGATCGCGGCTTCATTTAAATTTACATGGCTGCCGCGCTGAGCCGATCAGCTGTTTGTCGGCTCAGTGCGCTAGTCTGGACGGTCCCCAGTCGACATCAAAGGCATTTGTTGACCTCCCTGGTAAACCTCATCCTGTGAGGCAAATCGGGGAGGATGTGATCACTTGGTGCCGAGCATGGATAAAGACGGGACCGTCCAGACTAGCGCACTGAGCCGACAAACAGCTGATCGGCTCAGCGCGGCAGCCATGTAAATTTAAATGAAGCTGCGATCATTTAAATCGCGGCTTCATTTGACTTTGCCTATGTGTCTAATCTACATGCCTCTGACGACAGAGGCACGTAGTCTAGACACAGCCTTGGAGTGAAGCATCATGGGTCCTGAGTCCTCATGCAGTTTTTTCTTGGTAAGATCCTATCCCAATAGGCTAAAGAGAGGTATTCGGCCTCCGGAGAGCTAGATTCGACTCCCGGCTCTGCTGTTAAATGGAGATGGGTCTCCTTTCTCCCTCCTAAATTCTTCAGGGCAAGGACCATCCTTCACCATGTGTCTGTACAGTGCTTAGCATGAGGGGCTCTGATCTCAGTTGGGGTCATTCAGCGCTGCTATAATACGACCTGTCAGGCCTGTTCCCCACTCTGGAGCTCTGAGTGCAGAAGGTGGAGGCCCACAAGAGACCTTAAAAATATCTTGCCTCTATAGGCTTCCACCTACAAAAAACTATCCAAGGTCAGAGATTTCCTGCCATTGGGAAGTAGCTGCCACCATTAAGTGCAAAAACAAACCCCCTTCTTCTGAAACCCAGGAAGAAACACTTAAACTTCTTGCACAGGGGTGTCCTCCAGGCTCTTTTATCACAAGAGAGCTTGAGAAAAGCAGAAAACATACTGCACTCTCTGGTAGCTGACCTCTTAGTCTTAGGCACTCATACACAGACCTCCTTGGTTGCTAGGTGTTACAGATCAACTGAGAGAAGAACAGCTTAAAACACAGAAAAATGGTATCTCTGAGCTACAGCTTATATACAGTGAATGTGGGAGGAGAGGGGGGCACATGGATTTAGCACAAGGAAGTTTAACCAAGCAACAAAACAAAGAAAAATAATCTGGTCGTGACTAAATATACATTTCTCTATCTACTCACAATCCACTCACTTTTTTGGTCTCCTCACCTCGAAAAAGATATTTTGGCATTAGAAAAGGTTCAGAAAAGAGCAACTAAAATGATTAGGGGTTTGGAATGGGTCCCATATGAGGAGAGGCTAAAGAGACTGGGACTTTTCAGTTTAGAGAAGAGGCGACTGAGGGGGGTTATGACAGAGGTCTATACAATCATGACTGGTGTGGAGAAAGTGAATAAGGAACAGTTATTTGCTTGTTCCCATAACACAAGAACTAAAGACCACCAAATGAAATGAATAGGCAGCAGGTTTAAAACAAACAAAAGGAAGTTTTTCTTCCTGCAACACATAGTAAACCCGTGGAACTCCTTGCCAAAGGATGCTGTGAAGGCCAGGACTTTAACAGGGTTCAAAAAAGAGCTAGATAAATTTGAGGATGATAGGTCCATCAATGGCTATTAGGCAGGATGTGCAGGGATGGTGTCCCTAGATTCTGTTTGTCAGAGCCTGGGAATGAACAACAGGGGATGGACCATTTGATAATTATCTGTTCTATTTACTCCCTCTGGGGCACCTGGTATTGGCCACTGTTGGCAGACAGGAGTCTGGGCCAGATGGACCTTTCATCTGACCCAGTATGGCCGTTCTTATGCTCTAAAAAACAAAATGGGGATACCGCCTAACAAAACCTACTTTGCTCCTTTATTTGACAAGTGGTTTAATTTTCATTATTTATGATCTTTCTATAGATGTTCTGCAGTATATGTTATAAATGTCCTGAAGTCTTAATAATATCAGCCCATGTTACAGCATCTGCTAAATCTTTGCTGAGAAGGTTGTGGGTGGGGGCGAGGAAAGGGAGGGCGAGCGGTTCGCCTGTATGTGGCATTTATGAATGTTTGTACATACGCAGTCTTGCAAAATCCTCCTTGCTCAGGCTGAGCAATTTTTTTTTCGACAGGTAAGTAAAATATAAGGTTTTCCTTCTCATGAATCACCAGGCTACGGGCAGGTGCCTGGGCTGGTAAGAGCCATATGTTGCGAAACTCCCATTGACTTCAACTGGGTCATGATGTCTCCCTCTGTATCAGTTATAGGTTGAGTCACAAAGTTCAGAGCCTGAAGTAACTCCAAACTTCGGCATATTTCATTCGTGTCCAGAGCCAGCATTCCGCTATGGCTCAAAATAGAGATCCGCTCAAGTCCCAGCATGACTTAGTGTGTGGGGCTCTGCATCTGCACTTCCCTGGTGTTTGGAGTGGGGAGCAAAGCAGTTCTCTGATGTGAGCCCATCTTGCTCATAAACACACACAATGTACCTGTTGTTGGTTTTAATACCAGTAGGACATGAGTTCTAGTCTCAGCTCTGCCTCTGACCCGCTGTGGGACCCAGGGCAAGTCCCTTAGCTTTGGACTTTCTTTTGTTTCCACTCTGCCCTTTGTCTGCCTTGTTTCCTTAGACTGGGAGGTCTCCAGGGCAGGCACTTTCTGGCTATGTGTCTGTACAGTGCCTAGCATAAGCTGGGCTGGGCTTTAGGAGAGAGATTCCCACCTGGGCAGCAGACCAGCATGAGGGTGATGCCTGATTGAAACTCCACGTTAGCTCCCTGAGAGACTATGTGAGGACACTCAGGGTATGTCTACACTACAGCGTTAATTTGAGTTAACTTAATTCGAAATAGTTAATTCGAATTAAGCTAATTTGAAATAACGCATCTACACACAAAAATGATTTTGAAATAGAACACTGAGCAGACCCTGAACCAAAGTTAAGGCTGGCCGGAACCAGTGCCGGCAGGGCATCAGGTTGGGACTTAGTGTGTGGGGCTGCTGCCTGAGGCTAACTGAGCTCCATGCTTACAGGGACCCTACCCCCACCCCGGACAGACAGTTCTCAGGGTTCCCCGCTGTCGATGAGGGACAGACAGTTCTCAGGGTTCCCTCTCGATGAGGGACAGCAAAGCAGCCCTGTCTTGGAGTGCCCTGAGTGCCCGCAATCGGGACACCACAGCGCTCGGCCACATGGAGCCAGAGCTGGCCCTGGGCACACCGGTGCTCTTGTGGGCTTGTTGCCATTAGTCCCACTGCACTTGCTGCAGGCTGCCATCCGGAGGTCCATCAGGGGACTATCAGGATCCAGGAGGCCCTGAGGGAGAGCGTCCACCCCAAGGAGCCGTCAGAGCCACCCCAGTCCTCCCCACCGGGGGCTCGTGCCCCATTCCTTCCTCATGTCCTTCCACTTACCCCTCCCTCGCCCCCTTCCTGATGTCAAACAAAAGACACGTATGTTCAAAAATAGAAACTGGTTTATTGAACAAAACTGGGGGGGGGGGGGGAACCTCTGGGGGGACTGGGA